TTTGACTCCGATGGTAACACCACTGCGGGTGTCGCTACATTGAGAGAGGAGAGATTAGGGAGAAAAGAGTGTGCGGTGCTCAAATCATCTAGTTGATTTGAAAACGGTCAGATCATGACGCACCAACAAATACCCATTCAACACCGCTACTCATGACGATTTTCTCCGGTGGTGACACCGTCGTGTAGGTTGTTCGACTTCGAAGGTAACACCTCTGCCACCAAAGACTTTCTTCCAGGGATGGAACTCATGCTGTTAAGTGAGAAGAGTGAAAGAGTGAGGGGAAGTAATTTACGTTTTGTAGTGGTATTAGTGGATAAATTAAATTAGTGCCTAAGTTTTGCTTAAATAAACCTTGCACTTAAATTTTGAGTTAGAAAATTTAAACACCTGTCGGTCAAAAAAAAGTTCGACAACTGTTTGCACTCAGACAGTCAAGTCAACGGCTGGACAAGAAAAATATGAGATCAAGAGAGGAGGGGGACTTTTGGCTAGAGTAAGAGAACATACCTTGGAAATGAATGAAATTCTCTCTCTCTCTCTCTCTCTCTCTCACACACACACACACACACACATATAGAGAAATGGAAATGGGCCTCGTGAGCTAATGGGTTGGACCATGTTTCAAGCCCAATATGCAATTATTCAATTAAATAGCCCAAGACTAGGCTTTTTGATTTAATATGTCCAATCAAATTAAATAGTTGATGCCACATTGGTCAATGTGGGACCCCTTTGCACGCGTATGCCACGTAATTTATAGGTATAACAATATGTTTTAACAAGAATTTAATGTTTTCTTAAATTGAATATTCTATATATTTTCTCTTTAGAAAGCACCATATACAACTGCATATGTGCGCATTACGAGCGATTTACAATAGCCAAAATAGAGTCCTTGTGATGGAGCCCAATAAAACAAGAAATGCGTACAAGCTAGGGGCTTGGAATTTTATTTGGTCGTTTATTTAATAATAATGTTATTTTATTTGATTGGAGACAAATCTATAAGTTTTCAACAGACTAAAGTTGCTAAGTGTTTTAATATAGGCATTAGGTTTCATTTAGTAGCCAAAACTAATGGCTGTTTGTTGGATTTGCTTGCCTACGTATAAATGGACTTGTGTGTGTTTCTCCATTTTCGTGATTCAAATTTGTATTGATTAGAGTAACTAATTTGTTAAACAAAATAAATTATTAGACATTCTTTTCAAATCAACGAATTCTTGATTTCCTACTTTCGGGGACTATTCTAAAATTCATTGTGTTAGACTCGTCCTCCGTTCATGTTCATTCAACTTTATCTGTTTGGTGTAGAACCACAAAGAAAATGGATAAGGAAATACATGTTAAGATCTAAAAGACGTCAACAAGTTGTGCATACCATATTAGCAAATTCAAGTTTGGTTCGAGAGTACACATGGTGAATTGCAAATAATGAATCTCTCAAGAAACGTATTTCACTTTTAGTCTGTTTGTCTCTAATTATGAGATAAATTATAGAATTTTGAATAATATATATATTTTTTTAAGAATATGCGGTTAAAATTTAAAGAAACTTTATTGGTTTGTGTGCAGAATATATTATTATGTGAATGTGTGGTGAAAAATATTTCTGTGACAAACAATTTAATTTGTTAAAAGATGACAAATGGGGGCTAAATAGCCATAACTTCAGCCGTCCATTCATAGAAAATAAGTCTATTTCAAACTCGGCTTTTGCCTAATAGTAATTAGTACACTTGTCTAACATTTTTGCCTTTTAGACACTTGCACTTAATGAAATGTTAATTTTAGGTATACGTGCGGTTTTCATCTTTCTTGTTTTATTCAACAAATATATTGTCGTTTCTTATATTTTCTTGTTAATTCTATTTAACAAAAGCAAGTTGTATATAGTCTATACCATAAAGTACTGACAGATTAATTAGTGGTCATTTACTTTAGATGTTAAGCAATAATTTAAATATTTTTGTGCGATACACGTGTGATACATGTTTTCATCCCTGGCTATTTAAACTTTGGTGGAAGAATATGACATCTTTTTGCCCCTTAAACAATATGACATCTAAAAAATGTAACCAACAAAAAATGTGAGCACTACGTTAATGATCTCAACTAAGTCATATTCGAGGAAAAAAAAAAGGATTATCTATCATAGAACTCAACAATTCAAACGCTTAAGCACCAGAATCTATATTTTTCACGTACTTGACAAAGTTCTTATTATCTTTATTCTCTAGAATAGTATGACCCACATCAGGTCTACCATTATGTGGTTGATGCTCTCTAAAGCATCATGTTCTTTTAGTACACTCAAAATATTATCATACCAAATGTTATCGCATTTAACTTATCATCTTTATTAAGGTCAACTATCATAGATTTTGTTGCCATGATCTATCAAAGTCTAGAGACATTTTATTTTTGACCAGTGCCCATTTATGCACATAAACAATTTTGATAGTTCAACGTTGGCCCCAGACTCGAAAATTTACTATGTTCCAATCATTGATTGTTTCACTATCATAAACTTAATTTCATAATGCAAAATCCCATGAGTTCTAAGCGAGAATTACATTAATTCGTCCAGTTTGAGAACTTTCACTCGGTAAATCAAATAGTTTTAGGTAAGATTTTCTCTAAATCTTTCAATAATCGAACTACCAACTGACAATCAATAGGTCTAAATAAGAATCCTACTAATTCTACTAACCTTAGCTTTCAGTACAATTCATGAATTAATAAATATTCTATAATTCAGTAAGGTAATTCCGTAATGTGCAATACAAGTATAAAAACATGCACATTTATCCAATTATGACATATACCATGATATCACAAATTAATTCTTCCATAAATTATTCTAATTATAATCTAAAAATGAAACTCACATCATTTACTTTTTGTGAAAAAATCTACATGTACATAATTATTGCACATAATGTTGTCCATAATGTGATATGACAATCATTCGATTGTTGATGTGAAAGTGTGAGATTTGAATTAAAGGTTGGATCCAATGTCATATGTAATTATGGACACCATTATGTAGACAATTTTATACATGTAGCACTTCCCATATTTTATTATACAAATTCTCAATCTTGCTTTAATATTTATTGCAACACAATCCTAACAAATGAGAGGTGACATCATAATTCTCATTTTCTGTTTATCACAAAATAAGTTGTTTCAAAAACATTTAGTGTTCCATCATGTTCTAGATCCAATTATTAATTTCAATCAGCACATAGTTTTTCAACAAGTTTTATAGACTTTGTTTTTCTAGCATTCCCTCTAAAAATGCTACAAGTGTACATATATTCAATAATATCTAATCAATCACAAAAATTGGAAAAAAGTTATAATGGATCACATAACTTAATCAAAGACGCACACAACTTATGAACGTATATAAAACGTAGTTTATTAAATACTTTTGGAGTATTTTTCATTTTTTTTTAAAAAATGAGAGCACTTCAATAATAATAATAATAATAAATTCCCACTAACTGAATACTACTTAATAAATATTCTTGAATTTATAAAAAGTAAAATAAAAATAAAAATTTTAATATTTTTTACAAATTTATTTTAAGCATTAAAATAAAATATTTTTAACTATCCAAAATTAATTTAATTATAGTGTAAATCAAGAAAAAATTAGAGAGCAATCTGCAATTTCATAATTCAAATCAGGTCCCTCATGTTCCTTCATGTGCTGGACCAATCTACAATTATTTTTTTAAATTAATAAAAGAATGGGGAGCGAGTTAGCGCTGTTGTGCCGTGCTCGAAATTTTGTTTGTCGATTGGTCATCCGAATGAATTTCAACATTCTGAGTTCTTCAGTGTAGTTAGATTTAAAAAAAAAAAAAAAAAAAAATCAATTTTTGTAATATCACATTTGAGATATCAACAGTTCTGTCTGAGAGTGAAAATGACAAAATTCATGCAAAATTTCTAGATTTTCGATCAAATTTCGAGATGTCATAACTTCTACATTTCAATGTCAAAATTAATGATCTTTGTACATTTGAAAAGGTTTAGAAAAGATCTATCCAATAATGCTAAAAATAAATCATGAAACGTAGTGTTGAAGAAATTATTATGTGATGAAATTTTTAACTTTACTAATTTTCATACAAACTTCACGAAGGCATAATTTCTTTATTTCATGACAAAAATTAACAATATTTAGTCCATTGGAAAGGTTTCGAGAAGATCTATCCAATTATACCAAAGGGGGAAGTGTAGAAGAAACTATCATGTGATGAAATTTTGAATTTTACCAATTTCATATAAAAAATCAGATTTCCATCCAAATTTCAAAACCTCATAACTTCTTCATTTTAAGTCAAAAATTTATTTATTTTTATATGGTTTGAATGCTCATTGAAATCCCTTTCAGACCATACTAAATATTATTGCATAATTATCAATGTAAAGAAAATAGTAAATTATCAAAATATGCCTTAAAGATCACATAAAGTTTGAAAACTTTACATACAAAATTCACAACTCAATTGAATCATATAACATATTTAAATATGAAATATTGCAAGGAATTCAACTTTAAGACTCTGATACCAATTTAATAATTCGTAGCATACTTGAACATAAATTTCCAATCAAGTATCTTGCATAAATTGACAAATTATAAAATCTTTTGAATGGTTGAATCACCTTGCTTTATAAATTTTGAAATATGTGTTTTCTTGTTCTTCAATGGTTTCAATCTCAATCGCAATGTAAAGGTATTATAATCCATAAATTAAATGCCTAATTTTGTGAGTTTTGATGCCATATATGTATTTCTAGTCATTTTTCTATTTTAGAGAATTTTCCATATAAATTTTCATTATTTTTCCTCTTTTTCCATAACTTCAAGCAGGAAGTTGCTAGAAGTTATTTGGAAGTTGTAGAGAGTTAAGAAAGTTATGGATTTAAATTCTGTTCAAAACATTACTAGCTATCCACTTTTGAAGTCTTGCAAGGCGGATCATCTCACATGGGTGATCCGTGACCCATATTTTTCAACAGCAGCGAAGACTAGGAAAAGTGGCCAACTGTAGTTTAAGGAAGCGTATAGTCCACTGTTTTACACTACGAGCTGCTATAACATTATATACTGTCTGTGCTGATCATCTTTATGTCTTCTATTGCTTCGCAGCTACGGACATTTATCTTTCCTACGCCGCTGTCTGTATTTGGCAAATTGTGTTCTTCATTACCAGTTCATCTAGACCATCTGTTCTCCTCGAATACAAATCTCTGCAGTACTTTCTACACATTTGATCCAGAAACCTACTACACTTCCCTTCTTGAAAAATCGGTCAGCAAGAACCATCTCAATCAAATTCAAGCAAAGTTATACACCAACGGCCTCGAAAACAATGGTTTTATAATCGCCAAATTTATCCATGTTTGCTCAAATCTTAAAGAAATTAGTTATGCTCACCAAGTGTTTGATAAATTCCCGGATCCCTATGTTTTCTTGTGGAATGCAATTATCAGGGGATATTCCATGCACAACATGTTTGCAAACGCCATTGAACTGTACACAAGAATGCAGCATGCTTACGTGAATCCAGATTCATTTACGTTTCCCCATGTGCTTAAAGCTTGTGGTGGCTTAGTAGCTATAGGCATTGGTACTGCGGTTCATGCACAGAGTTTTAGACTTGGGTTTGAGAACGATGTCTTTGTACAAAATGGGCTCGTGGCATTCTATGTTAAGTGTAACAAAATTTGCTATGCTGGTAATGTTTTTGATGGGTTACAAGACAGGAGTGTTGTTTCATGGACTTCGATTATTTCTGGGCATGCTCAGAATGGGCAGCCTATGGAGGCCTTGAGGATTTTTAGTAAAATGAGAGCATCAAATGTGAAACCTGATTGGATCAATTTGGTTAGTGTTCTAAGAGCTTATTCTGATGTGGAGGATTTAGAACAGGGAAGAAGTATTCATGGCTTGGTTATCAAAGTGGGACTTGAATTTGAGCCTGACTTGCGGATAGCACTTACTGCTATGTACGTCAAATGTGGGCAGGTGATTGTTGCGAAATCGTTGTTCGATCAAATGAAGATTCCCAACGTGATTCTCTGGAATGCCATGTTGTCTGGATTTGCTAAAAATGGTTATGCAGATGAAGCCTTGGAGCTTTTTAGTGAGATGATATCCAAAAGCATTAAGCCTGATGCTGTCTCTGTACAGTCTGCTGTCTTGGCTTCTGCCCAAGTGGGGTCACTTGATCGAGCAAGATGGATGCATGACTTTGTTAATAATAGTGAGTACAAAGGTGACATTTTTGTGAGCACAGCTCTCATTGACATGTATGCAAAATGTGGAAGTGTTGAACTGGCTCGCCAACTATTTAACAGTACTGTAAATAAAGATGTAGTCGTATGGAGTGCAATGATAGTGGGTTATGGATTACATGGATGGGGAAGAGAGGCTATTGAGCTTTTTGGCATAATGAAGCAAGCAGGGGTGCGCCCTAATGATGTCACATTCGTTGGTCTCCTCACAGCATGCAACCATTCTGGTCTCGTAGAAGAGGGCTGGAAATTTTTCCTCTGCATGAAGGATTATGGTGTCGAGCCCAACGACCAGCATTATTCATCCGTGGTTGACCTTTTAGGCCGTGCAGGATACATAGAAAAAGCATACAATTTTATCATGAACATGCCCATTGAACCTACTGTTTCAGTTTGGGGAGCTCTTTTGAGCGCATGTAAGATCTATCGCCATGTTTCAATTGGGGAATATGCAGCAGAGAGACTTTTTTCTTTAGACCCATTAAATACAGGCCACTATGTGCAACTCTCTAATCTTTATGCTTCTGCCTGCATCTGGGCTGGTGTTGCAAAAGTTAGAGTATTGATGCGGGAGAAAGGATTAAGTAAAGATGTGGGATATACTATGATTGAGATTGATGGGAAGCTTCAGGCTTTTCGAATGGGAGATAAGTCTCATCCAAGATCAAAAGAAATATATAACGAGCTTGAGAGGTTAGAGAAGAGATTATTGGAGTCTGGATTTGTCCCAGATACAGAATCATCTTTGCATGACTTAGACAAAGAAGACAAAGAGGTTACTCTGTGTAATCATAGCGAGAGATTAGCAATTGCCTATGGCCTCATTAGTACACCTCCCGGAATTACACTTAGAATAACCAAAAATCTGAGGGCATGTGCAAATTGCCATTTAGCAACCAAGTTAATATCAAAGCTTGTTAACAGGAAGATAGTTGTGAGAGATGCAAAGCGGTTCCATCATTTTAAGAATGGAATTTGTTCTTGTGGGGATTATTGGTGAGAAGTGTATTTATCTTGTGAATTATCACGCATACCGGTTCACAGACTAATCTTGGAAAAGGCTGACAGGAATGAGTCAACTAATTCTTATAAAGGTGCATTTTATTGATTTATTATTTTTTTTATTTTTTTTTTTAAAGTTCTTAATGATTGCTATGTAAAATTCATATGTACAATCTACATAAAATTTCCTTGAGGGGATTCAGACCATCAGAGTTTAACGATTCTGAGAATGGGTAGCAACCGTTGTTGATAGGTAGCTTACCATCTCGCCCTTTATAGTCGCGACTGTTGTCATGGAAAAACAGTTTGTTTTCTATCAAAGAAGCATGCTTAACATAGCCTATAGCAAAAAGGCATCAAGATAATTATTGGGGAATTTTCATAAATGTCACTAAATTTGAAAATATGCAAAAAACAAAAAACAAAAAAAAATTCATTTGTAATAAATATGGTAAAAAATATCACTTTTTTGGTGTTAAAGGTCCTTATTACCCTTAGTGACACCTTTTTAGGAGCATTTAATGCTTGATTTGAAAGTCATTAATGTTGTGATGTGAGGATTTGTTTTATATATTATAAATATTAGAGATATGATTATTATATTGGATAGTCTGAACTCTTGTTAAAATAAAAATATTGAAAAAAAAGAAAAGAAACATAACTTCGTACCATTCACAAATCCTAACTTCCTATTTATCTTCTTCATTTCAACATCAAGCAGACATTATCATTAGATTCGTTATCCATTTTTCAGAGGTTAGTTATTAGAAATTATTTATATTTTCATCTTATAACTTACTATTTTAAATGTTAAATAAAACATAGTCATATTTATTTGAAATTTTTAAAACTTTTATTCATTGATTTGTTTGATTCTTGATATATTTTTGATGTGAAAAGATACTAACATCTTTTAGAAAATGTTAAGGATTCTATAATTAATGAAGTATTGAGTCATTCCTTATTTATTTTTGGAAAGATGTTGTGATGTTGTTGTTGAGAATTAATTATCAATATTAATGTTTTAAATAATTTTTTCCAAGGTACCAAATATATGTTTTCAAGCTTCCCGACAATCTCGACAGTTCAACTATCGAATTCTACATTTTGAAACCGTCATATTAGACATCTCAATTGTCGAAGTCGACATTTAGAAAATGTCAGGATAGATAATTTAACTGTTGGGATTCAACCATTCATATCACCTTTTGTTATTGAATGATTTAAATATTCAAATGTGTCACTTTCATGCTATTAAATGTCAACATATTGATTTTGCTGAGTTCTTACCGTTGCAATCTCAACTTTTCATGTATTAGTAATCATTTGAAATTCATCGTATAAAATTGGTGAAGGTTTTTTTTATGTGGATGACGAATGGAAGTGGAGAGTGGACAAAACCACTTTCATTTTAATTCCAACAAGTATTACCTTATGCACTCGTTATGGTAGAGTTGCTATAACCGGACCACGTATTCCAACCCCATTCTAGCACAACTAATGTAAATAGGCTTGATGTCTAAAAGTAGTTGAAGTTGTATTCTGAATGTTCCCCCAAAAGCGTTGTACATTCTGAAATTATATTATCATTTTCATTTTATTATTATTTGCAGACATTAGTCGTATTTAAGTTCACAAGCAAAATAATTACATAGACAAAAACTGCATACCATTCGACAAAAGCATTCTATCATTCTCGACAGATGGTTGCAAAATAGAAAATTTGACTGCAAAAAAAATGTATAAGGAACATGTTCCCAAACACATTCTCAACTTACATTATTATTAGCATTTTATTATCATTTGCAAACATTGCATAACATCGTGACAGTTAAATTATCGGTTTCGACAAAAGGTTTCTATCATTCTCAATAGTTGGTTACGAGCAGAAAATGTAACTACAAATAAGATGTATAAGGGAATCGATATTACAGAATATTTGGTAAAGACATTACGATATTTATCCCTGACAAAACTATACTACATAACTCAAGAATTTTTTCGTGTTAATTGAACAATCCAACAAGTATGAGAAATGATAAAATGTGTAACCACATGTGGATGTAATCACCAAATCATGTTTATAACCACATTTTTGGAGGGAAGCAAAATGAGGTCATTTAGTACACAAATCAATTCTAATGTAGTATTAACAAATCTCGTCACACTATTTCTTTACTCCCTTTCTTCTCTCCTTAGTGTATGAAGTCCTTGCAAATGCCGCAGGAAATCGAATGTGCGTCGGTCATTGCCTCTTTGTGTTAACAACATCATTACTTTCGATAGGTATGGTGGCAGCCTCTGTTAGCTACAAGCTGAGGAAATTTTTTCGTTGTCCAAGTATGACACTTCAAGCTTATGTCTCCTCGATCTATTTGAAAACATCTCCTCCATCTATTTGAAAATAACATTTGTAACACTAACATTTAAAATTACGAAATGAGAATAGAGTATTCAAAATTTTGAATTCCTCATAATTAAGGAACATACCGTTCACCTCTTGGTTCCCACTAAGCAATGGATCCTCATGATTATCCTAGTACGGGTTGATACCTCCTCCATATAATTGAAAGCAATAATTATAATACTAATGGACATGAATTCAATATTTCTGGTTGCATATTACGAAATGAGATGAATGTATTTAAAATTTTGAATTCTTCATGTGTTAATGCTAAACACACATTTAAAAAATCAAAAAACAAACTATAATGTTCGAGAAGTACTGCCTTTAATTTTCGAGAATGACAGCTCATATCGAAAGATGACTCATCTATCGAGAATAACTAAAATGAACTGTTAGGAACGACAGTTTATCTCGATAGATGGGCCACATAACTGATCTTTCGAGAAGTTCTCGTGTGTCGAGAATTCATAACTGTACAGACTTTTAATGTGACAAATTAAACAGTTCGCTTAGAAGATTTGATATCCATGCCTAACCTAGAAAAATATAATAGATAAGGTAGGTTGGAATGACAAGTATAATACAACAATCAACTTTCACAAACAAAACAAATTAAAAGAAATATGAAGTAAAAAATTGACATAACGTGAAATACTTTATTAGAAAAATATAAAAAAATTCATGTATAACACCCAAAAAAATTTAGAAAAAAACAAAATGCCCAAAAAAGTATAAACCTCAAAAAATGGAGAAATCCAAATTACCTGTAAATGTACACTTCAAACAAAGCTGAATCCAAAACAGAGAACAATCAAACTCATGATCTAGATGTAGGGAACTCAAAATTGGTAGTGCAATCTAAGAGAAAGATAAAAAAAAAAAAAAAAAAAAAAAAAAAAAAAAAAAAAAAAAAGAAAAAAAAAAGGAACTTTAGTAAAAAACTTGAAAGAAAACCTTCAATCCAATCGGAAAAAACACATATAAAATATAAAGCCAAAAGTTGACTATTTTGATAATTTTCTCTCAATTTTTTTTGTTAGATATTTGTGAAAAATTATGATTTAGGATACCTAATAATAATAAGGATAGGCTGACAAGATAAAACTATTTTTCATTGTACTTATACTTATAGAACAAATTTCCGATGGATATGGATTTTAAATTTATATTTATTTCATAATTTTTTTTGTCTTAAGATGCCTTTCCAACCATTTCTATTGAACCACCGAGAATTGAGTTTGCTTATACCCTTTTTAACTAGGAAGAATTATATTGCGTCTCTAACTATGTGAAATGAGAAAGTAGGTCCGAACCATCAATTTGTATTAACTGCATCCTCACTGTTTCAATCTTATAGGAATTCGGTCCGCAATCCATCCACTTGACCACAATAGGTTTATTTATTTTTTGTCAATGACGTCATTATTGTTATAAAAAGAGAGAAAATGAGGAGATAATAAAAGTTAATAAATTTTTTATGTGTTTTATTAAGAATAAAAATCCTATATTGATTAGTAAGAATTAGAGATACAATAGTAATAATTTATCGAGTTGCAGGAGTACAATTGTCATTTATTAATAAACTTACCACTTATAACACTCCTCCTTGAACGATACATTACAAAATATCCGTCTCGTTAAACCTTTGTTTGATAAAAACCTAATGGGTTAAAAAAATCAGACGAAAGAAAATGAGTACAGTTACTTTGGAGTATTAAAATTAAATGTTGCCTCATTAAAACCTTACTAAGAAAATCCAGTGGGATAAAGCTACGATAAAACCTGAGCGAAGGAAAAAGAGTACAGCTACTCCCTGCAAATTTTTGAATCGACGCATTCCACTCTCATGAACCATTTTCTTGAATGTAGATGTCGATCATGATTTTTTGAATAAATCGGCCACATTGTCACTAAGGAAATTTGTTGGATATCGATAACGTCATTCTTTTGAAGCACGTGTATGAAAGAAATTTAGAGAAATATGCTTTGTCCTATCGTTTTTTATGTAGCCTCCTTCGAATTATGCAATATAAGCTACATTGTCTAGGTAGGAATTCGCAACATACTTTGATATTAATTTTGGGTCAAGAAACTTATTTGAAATGATAAATTCCAAGATCTTTTTGTGTGGTTGAATCATCTTGCATTCCAAAACTCCAAAATATTCATTTTCTTGTTCTCCAATGGTCATAATCCCAATCACGATGGAAAGAGATTATCATCCACAATCTAAGTGCCATTTTTTGTAAGACTTTATGCCAAAAATATGGTTATGGGGACTTTCTAATTTTGGTGTGAATTTTTATACGAATTTTCACCATCCCTGCCCTAATTTTGTCATTGTTTTTTTAAATTTTTTTTGCCTCCCTCCTATATGGAGGTTCTACGTAGTTATCTTGGGAGTTACAGGGAGTTGGGGAAGTTATGAATTTAAATTCCATTCAAAACATTTCCTCCTAACCCTTTTAAAATCTTGCGAGTCGGGTCAACCCCATGATCTATCTCACATATCTCCCACTCGCACATGACAGGGTCGATCCGAATCACAAGTGATACCGAATGTCAGACCTTAGATCCTTTTCAAGATCTAACTCACAAAGATTCATACGGCAAATAAATTGTGCGACAAGCGAGTAATATTAAAACTCACGGTAATATAGAACTTGTCAGGTATATATATAGTAGCTCTGTTAGAGGAATATTACATCTCGCTATACCCTAAACTCATTTTTCAA